TCGGGGTTTTCGTCACGTTTTCGGGTCCCGTGACGTCGAATTCGGCGCAGCGAGTTTCGTCGGTTTTGCCACCAACAGTATACATATATTAGTAATATCAAATTATAAATATAAATACTTATATAGATAGACAATAATTTACAAATTTTATTTCAGCTAAGATTTATATTATATATATGTACATATATTAAAAAAGTAAAATTTGTCAAGATTTACGAAGCCAACAAATGCAGCAACTACAATTAAGTATTGATTCATTTTTGAATACGAGAAGTCAGGATAGATGAATATGCTAACATACGTACCATTTTTTCCCATCATTTTATATTTAACTGACTTTATTGTTCCCTTGCATAAATAATTATTATAAATTAATATAAAATTTTACTGATTTGGCCTAGAGTGGACTGAAATATGCATATATGCGCATATACGTAGCTCATATGAATGCCGCCAAGAGAAAACCTACAAGTCGTACTCTTTTTTTTTTTTCTCCTCCCTCCGCTTCCTGAAGGTTCTTAGACACCTTAAAGATCCCTCGCATATTTTAAAGCCAGTTATCATTCTGCGGACGGCCATATGCACCTATATTTCACCGAACTCGTGAGATAGCTCATGTTCCGTTAAGTCCGTCATATGACGCCCCGGGTCTCTGGTCCCGCGGTGTAGGACCTACTATCTACCTACTATCTTCTTCAGTCCGCAGTTCCCTAATTTCGCATGACCCACCAGCCGGATCGTCCTTTTATATTAATATCCTGTTCTATTTAATCCTTAACCTGGGTTTACTCAATTTTAACGTCATTTGTTGACGGATTACGCCTTTTCTGGTCGTCTCCGACCCCGTGGTTACGCCGGTGACTACATTAGTATGAATCTTGTTCTTTCTTGATTTTATCCGGATCCTCAAAGATTATTCAACCGTGGTCCTAGCTGAGCCTTGTCCGTCGTACTTTTTGAATATTTAATAAAAATATCTTAAAGCCAAGCAATTTAATTCCTAAGTATAATTTTAATAACATTTGAAATCATATATTAAGAACATTAGGTACTAAATTGCCTGATTTTAAGATATTTTTATTAAAAGTTAATATTTAAAAAGTACAACTTATGAGTCTTCGCTTGGCTGCTCATATATTTTTCGACGTCATATGCGTACATACGAGTCAAAATTGCATCAAAAAGTAAAATGGATTTTGAAACCATAATTATATACAATAAAACAGATTAATGAAGCTTTTATATAGAACATAGATCTGGGTTTTTACAAAATAACTATTCGCGAATTAGATAGATGTACAGCCTTAATGGTTGTATAATTTTGTAAGGTCACATATTTCATCTATAACTAGTTGTAGACCCATGCGATATACGGTAAAATTTAATATAAAATAGTATTAGAACCCGTCATTAAATGACGGACTATATGGGGTTTCACATAAAAGGGCCCATTTTGCAAATTTTTTGAAAATGTGTTTTTATTAGGTTCCTGTAAATTTTAACATGATTGACATTTTTCAATTATAAATTAAAAGCGATTTGCATAATAAAAAATGGAGAAAATGTAAAAGAAAATTATACGAAGCTGTCTAAGGCCAAGCACAGCACGAGATTATTTATTTCACAGATAATCCATCACTCTGTTACAGATATAACATATTTAAACTAACCGGCCTTATTATGAATTTATACGAGTAACCTATTTGTCAATCAATTAAACTATATAAATATTGAAAAGTATTGGATTAAGATGGGTGGCGCTTCGCGCCACCTATCGAACTAGTATTTATTATGACCAAAGATCTTATGTTTATTGTGTCAAATTAAAAGAGGTGTGGGTTTAGGACGTCCTTACATATTTTGTATCGAATTAAACAGTTATGAGTATTTTACGGCAAGCTTTTGTATTGACTGAATGGTTAATCACCAATCGGATTTCTTAGAGGCTGAGTCCGTTAAGATATTAACTCGAAAGCCTAAAGTCGGGCATTTCTTTAGCACACATATTTGTGTGCTTGTATTACCAAGCTATTCAGAATACTTCAGTGTGAACAGATACAAGATACATCAGTGAACTTTAATAATATATATTTAAAATAATGTGATTTATTACTTATTATTCAGGAAAGTTGAGATGCTAATTATGTAATTTTAATATTTCATCAATTCAATAATCGGCCAGGCATTAACTCAAGTAATTCTTGCATTATGTTGGGTGGTGTAATGCTAAGTTCATTAATATAGGTTTGTAAAAGGGTAACTAGCAAAGTTCTTTATGATAATTAACAGTTTTATAATTACATACAAACAGATGATACTTGTATTCAATTACTCAGTGATAGGACTCTCAGACCAACATTGTCTGCATTCCATATGTTAATTAGACTTTAATTCGAATCTAGCTTTATTGAAGCAAAATTGAAAAGTTTCTTTACATCTTAGAAGTAAAAGCGAATTACTCTATTCTACACATTGCTCTCTTAATTTTACGGATACAAATATAATACGTTTCTTCTGTTATACAGATACTATCAGTACATTAACCGTCTCATTATATAGTATTCTGTTACTGCTATGAATTGCACAGTTCCACGATCTATGTAGTTCCAATTTTTGTCCTTGTATTTCTTACAACCAAGTTTAAATTTAAATTCGAATTAAATTTGTAATTAATGAAATAATAAATATAGAAATAATGTAAAAAATATAATACTACTAAAATAAACTATATAAAATATTTATAATATACTGAATATGTGAAATGAATAGATTCATAGTAAAGAAATATGGATAAAAATTTTGAGGGAGCCGTGTTATAATGTTACACTTCAGCTTCTGAAGTAATGAAAAACTAGATTTAGAAAATAGATATCAGACATAACAATGATCTATAAAAAAACACTTAACCTGTTAATAATTCTTGGTAGTAATCTTTGTTTATGTTGTCGCTATGAACATATGTTCCATGTCCTATCAATTCTAGGTCTACATTATCTTTATATGCCTTTAGTTTACTAAAATCAACACTATTGGATTTAAGCTTTATTTTCCACATAGTATAAGGGCTAAGCATTATGTCACCCATATTAATTTTCTTATATATGGTGTTTTTTCTAACTGGACCTTCTTTATCTTTCTTAAAACTATAATAAACTTCAATAGCTTGATCACTTCTAATTACATAAAACTTATCACCATATCTATAATATGAGTTGCCTAGATGAATCATCGTAACGTCAAAGTTTTTAAGCTCGCTATCAATTTCATTTTGCATTGCTTTATCTATCGATTTAAATCTGATTTCTATTTTATTAAACTTAATTGCACTTTTATTACGGTCACTTTCTTTTACATATGCTTTTATGATTACTTCTTCTCCATTTAATAATTCTGATATTTCCTGGCTATATTTTTTATTTTCCCACACAAAAAATGGTGATGTATTACTAACACCAAATTTTCCATCCACCAAAATTCCGTCCTTCTGATTAATAGTTGCATTATAGCTTTTAATGTCTGTTTTCAAGTGTGATATTTGTTCAACAATGCTGTCAATGGCTTCTTTACTATTATCTAACTGTAAACTAAATACATTTGAATACATATATGCAAATGGAAACACCCATTGTCTGAATGCGCTTATTGCTTTTTTATAATGCCCTAATATAATGTTGAATTTTAATTTTTGTTCTAGGTCTTCAATAGCTTCTTTTAATTTTTTGTCCTCTATTTCAGTAATCATTGGTGAACTAATATTCGCAATATAGTTAGTAAGCTTCGCCTGATCATAATAATCTTGTATACGATCATATAAGTTAATAATAGTAGTCATTCCTTCATCTAACTTTTCCATATAATATACTAAATAGTCTTTGATTTCAGGAAATCCTTCAACAATTTGTTGAAATGTAAACTTCATGTCTTTTAATGAAGCTTGCACTTGCCATCTGGTTAAGTCAAGAAAAACATGGGATTTTTTGTCCATTCGATCTCCTATATTAATAATATCATTTTGCATGTTTTCGACCATAAGCATAATCTTACTATGAATATTTTCTTCATACGATTGTAATTTTTTAATTTCTTCTTCGGCTTGCTTGATCGAATCATTTATTTTATCAAGTTTTTCTTTGTCTTTTTGATATTCATTATATACCTCAAATGCTGTTTCGACAAGTTTAATTTCATTATTAAGATTTTGTAGTATTTCTAACGTTTCTTGATTATTACGTGTAGTAGTTTCTTGATCATTAGTAGCAAAGTCATTTCTCTTAGGTTTTTTTAAGTTCTCTTCTAATTCTTTTTGTTTTTGTTCTAACTTGTCTTGTATCACCTTTACTATTTTTACATAATCTTGATTACCAGCTACCTTATTAATTTCACCTATAATATCTGAAAACTTTTGAGGATGCTTTTTACATTCATCAGATAATTTTTGGAATTGTTGTTTAGCAATTTTTATTTGATCATCTTTGAGAATTTTTTCTATTCGATTTAAAGAATCTTTTACACCCGAAGGAATTTCATATTTTGATTCACTATTATTCTCTGAGAAAGCTGGTGCGATCATATTAGCTCCCTCTTTTATTCCATTGCCAACCATTCCAATAGGGCCGCCAGTAAAACTCAGTACTTGACCTGCAAGTTTTAAAATTCCGAGTAATTTCTTCAATATTAATTTATTCTTCAAATCTTTTTGTTTCTTTTCTAAATCTTGTTTATTGTGTCAAATTAAAAGAGGTGTGGGTTTAGGACGTCCTTACATATTTTGTATCGAATTAAACAGTTATGA